AAAGAAAATAAAATGGTCATGATTCCTCTGCGTGGTCTGCCCAGCGCACTGTCCTGCTTTTTTCTGTTCTTCCTTTTCTTTCTATATTCCAACCGCTTTTCTTTTTTTCTGACCCTTAACTGAATATTCACCAAGGATATGCACCAAGATTCACTCTTGGGCCATATATTTATCTCTGGAACACGGATTAGAAAGGTCTTAGGAAATACTTAATCATGTTTCTTAACCAAGTCAAATCGATAAATATTTGTGTGTTATCACATGGTCTTGGTAGTTAATGAACCAGTTACAAGTTAGTAACTGGTTACTAACTCAAATTTGAGGTACCTTTGTCATAAAAGATGACCATGCCTACCTTATATTACTGTTAGTTTTATATGTCTATCTTTTGCCAATAACATTTTATGTTTCTTGACAGCAGCAATCATTGTTAACTTTTGCATGAGTCAAACCAGGCCTAGAATGTTGCCTTTTAGGTAGTATGCTTTCCTTCAATATTTGTAAAATTGAAAGTTTATCTGGCTCAGTGTTTCTTAAAATTAGCTGTGTATTAGAATTCAGTGATGAATTTTAAAATAAACAACCCCCACCCACCCACCCAAATACATTGATTTAGACTGTCCAGCATTGGGATCCATGAACCTGAATTTTTCAGTGTGAATTTTGAAAATTGGTGATAGCTTCTGCTTACTTGTTTTCAAAACTATAGTACCCTAACCACTTAAGCTGTTGTACTAGGACAGCTTTAGTTGTCAAAGTGGTGTTTCTTACTGAGTTTAAGCTATTTGTTTCTGTACTCTAGTAACCCAGATCTCTCTGGAACAAGTCTATGCCACATTCCGCTGGATGACCTTTCAGGCGTTTGAGGATAATGATCATGGTTTCTTTCAGCCTTCTCTTATTAAGGTTAGTTAGCTCCAGTTTTCCAGCCATTCTTTATATAGCTTAATTGTCAGATTCATCACTATCTGTTTACTGTTCTCTCTACCCTCTTGTCTTCATTCTGTTTAAAATGTAGAACCCAAAGCACAGTGCTTAATGAAGAGTTGGATTTTTAGCATCAGCATCTTGCCCTTGACTCATTCTGAGCTTGTGACCAATTAAAAGATCCCTGCCTTTTTCACATACAGTTCTGCCAAGCTAGGATTTTTTTTTCACTGTATTTTAGTGTAACTATTACTTTTAATTCAGTATTTTACCATTATTTCTTCTATCAATAGAAGGTTCCATTTTCTTTATTTCAACCTAGATTTTAGAAATATCAAGGTCAGTTTAAATCTATCATTTTGTCAGTCACATTAACTATTTCTCACTGCCTAGGGTTCCCTGCACATTTACTTAGCATCTCTTTTTCCCCCAAGATAAAAATGTTAAGTAGAACATTTTGCTGCATTATATACTTTTATTCTTCAAAGTGGCATACAACTACTGATCAAAATTTTAGGCACAGCTGTTCAATTTGCTGGGTTATTCTAACCTACCTTTACCTTGCCTACATCATCATCCTCGTTTGTCCCACCATAGCATGGGAAGGCCTCTGAATACTTTGGAGAAATCAAGATATTTGTTGTCAAAGAACTCTCTTTAGCTCCCTTTGCAATGTGTGTTAACAATGCCAAATTGTTCTTCATCCAGTTCTGTCGGATTCCAGTGATCGTCACATTCCTTTTTCATGAAGTATTCCTTCCCATAGATTATTTATTTATTTTAGTTTCAATTATTACCTTTATTTGGACAGGTTTCAAAAATCAGTGTTTTCTGTTCTGGCCATTCACAACAAAAATTACATTTATAAAATTACATTCAACATTTTTCTCTGTCCTCTTCCTCACTTTCTCCCCTGTTCTCCTTCTCTTTCACTCAATTTCTTCCTATCATAAAGAATTGAAATTTTGGAGTCATTATAGATAATCTTGATATCCAAACAATCACCAATTTCATGATTATATTTTACTCAGTGATACTGTTTATCACTATCCTGTTCTGTTTATTCATTTATCACATAGTATTTTTTTTTTTTTTTTGAAACAGAATCTCACTTTGTTGCCTTTGGTAGAGTGCCATGGTGTCACAGCTCACAGCAACCTCAGACTCTTGGGTTCAAGCAGTGCTCTTACCTCAGTCTCCCTAGTAGCTGGGACTATGGGCACCTGCCACAATGCCCAGCTATTTTATTTTGTTTAGCAGGCCCAGGCCAGGTTTGAATCCACCAGCCCTGGTGCATGTGACTGGTGCCCTAACCACTGAGCTATGGGCACCCAACTGATCTATCACATAATTTTATAATCCTTGCCAGGCATGTTGGCTCAGGCCTATAATCCTAGCACTCTGGAAGGTGAAGACCTTGAGCTCAAGAGTTTCAGAGAGCCTGAGCAAGAGCGAGATCCCATCTGTACTAAAAATAAAAAATCTAGCCAGGTGAAGTGGCATATGCCTATAGTCCCAGCTACTCAGGAGGCTGAGGCAAGAGGCTTGGTGAAGCCCAAGTGTTTGAAGTTACTATGAACTACGATACCATGACACTCTACCCAGAATAATAGAGTCAGGCTCTGTCTCAAAAAAGAAAAAAAAAAATGTATAGTCGTCATGGATAGCAGCAACCCTTGCTGAATTTCTTCCTTTTGATTCTTCTATATCAAATCTACATTGAATACTAAATACTATCAATTTATCCTACTAAAATTTTACTCCAATACAATACTTTCTTGTTTAAAACAGGAACTATTTTTCTACAGTTTATTCATTCAGATAGTATTTCAACAAATGGCCTATGCTTCTGTGAGGTATAAGGCATCATACTTGACTGAAAAAGTAAATTGTCAGCAAGGCAGGCATGATTTCCACCTCTAGGACTCTCAGAATTTTGTATGGAAGCTAATCATTTCCATTATTTAAGGCTCAATGAGATTATGTCCTCCATGTCACTTCCTCTGATTCTTTATGTATCTTTGACGTCTCTCCTCTCTCATATACTATTGTACTTTTAGTCTGTCCTAAATAATCTGGATCTGTGCTGTCCCTTGGGGTACCTATTAGTAATATGTGGCTGTTTACTTTTACATTAATTACGATGAAATAGCATTGAAAAATTTAGTCCCTTGTTTGCACTATCTATAATTCAAGTGCTCAACATCCAGTCTGGGATGGTTATATGTTCCTTTAGGGTAGAAGGCATAATTTCATCTTCCACTGGACTGTTATATTCCTTATGGACCTACTTGTAGAAAGAACCCAATAATATATTTGTTTGATTAATATGTACTTGTGTGATAAATGGCTCCACTGGGTATTGTATAATCTTAAATATCTCATTTAAAAAGTGAGATAATTAATTTAGATGGCACTGTCCGATGGAACTTTTTGCAGTCATGAGAATATCTTCTGTTCAGTACTGTAGCCAGCAGGCACATGTGCCTCTTGAGCCCTTGATGTGTGGCTAGGACAACTGAGGAACCACATTTTGAATTTAAGTTAAATTCAAATGATAGTAAATTGAAATAGTCACCTACAGTTAGTAGTATCATATTAGACAGTACAGAACTAGTTTTTGAGTTTGAAAAATATTTAACTTCAATGCAGCTGTCACAGTAAGACTTACATGTGAATTATTGTGGATTAGTATTATAAAGTTCCACTTGGATCTAGAACTCACCTGGAAACTCACCTGGTGAGTCTGGCTTAGCACTTTGAATGTTTGTTTCCTTCTCATATGTGCCCCTGGGACTGGGCTTTAATGCTTCATCCATTTATGCGGCTCTACAGGCAGAATTAGTCTCCTTCTTGAGAGTATGTTTGATCTCAGGAGGATAGTATTCTTTGAGGTATGCTGAAATGGTTGGTTCTGATAGTTACAGATTGTATATCTTTATTTAGCCACACTTAGTTATGATGGTTTCTTCTAAGTAATCTCTTTCTACCAAATTTATTCAGCTTTCTTTTTAGCATGAATAAACATTTACCCCTATACAACTAGGAAGTTAAATTGAACTGTAGCTATTGAATGAGCTGATTATTTTTTTTAAATGGCATTGAAACAGGCTAGCAACTAATTCACCTTATTTTTCCTACAGGATTTAAGAAATAAAGCTTTCATAAATTTTTGATTTATTTTCCTAATGGTTTATATTTTGTAATAGTTATAGTAATTTGATATCTGTTTAGATCTTGGGAATCTAAACACACTCTCCTATTTGTGTATTAGGATTTAATAACCATGTTTGAATTTTCATAGCACATTTAGCCTTAAGCATATACTTAACAATCACTTAATCTGGAGTAATAGTTGTTGAACTTGCATAGGTGGCAGAGCCACTGAAAATAGTATTCTTTTTTTTTTTTTTTTTGAGCAGTGAATTCCTACTATGTCAAATTATAATCTGTGTAATTTATTCAAAATCAGAACCTATACTAGAACTTAAACTAAGATGAGTAGTATAAAACTATAAGTTTAAGAAAAATTGAATAGGAGAGATGCTTAAAGGGCAGCTATTTTATTTCTGTGGTGAAATGTATCCCGTAGCCTTGTAGAATACCACTGTTTCTTGCATCAAGGCTTGAGAATTGTTTTGTCTAAGAAAAAAGAGTAGTAGATGGAGGATCAATAATATATTTGATAAGTATGGAATGGAAGAAAATATATACAGGCTAATATGTTTCTTATTTATAAAAAATTGTTTTGTTTTCATTTTTTTTAAATGCTTAGCACATCTGTATAGGTTATAAACTATCAGACCAGTTTTTTAAAGATACTAGTATTTTTTT